AAGTTCGTACTTCCTTTTAGATCGCATATTATTCTCCAACATTAAGTTCGAGTGCTTGGTATTTTTGTTGGAGCCACATGCAAATGTTTTGACATTGACAACTTGATTTCTTTTTAAGGGTGTGCACATTTCTTTGTAGCATTTGCATTGTTCATTTATATGATTCATTTAACACGGTTCCATATGCATTTGTCTTATATATTTGTATGTTCTTCAAGCATTTGTACATTCTTTGGTGCATTTGTATTATTCTCTTGCATGTTATTCTGTGCACTAGCATGCTTGTTAATGTACTTGTACGGTGCACTTGCATATGTTTTATTGCATTTTACACGGTGCACTTGCATATGTTTTATTGCATTTTACACGGTGCACTTGCACACATTTCTTGCTTTAGCATTATGTGCTTATGCATCTTTCAATGCATTTACATGGTGCCTTTGTGCACCTTATAATGCATTTGCACGCTTTTAAATGCACTTGTATAATGCATTGACACAGTTTTAAGTGTATTTGCACTTTGTTTACACACATTTTGGTATATTTGTCTGCTGGTTAATGCACTTGCATGGCTTTTGGTGCCCTTGCATGATTTTTGGCATTTGCATGATACACTTATACACCTTTCAAAGCTCTTGTTTGACTTATGAGGTGTCATATTTGATTTGAAGATTGTCTCGTGAAGCATATAGATGACTTCAAATTCTCATATTTAACTCTTTTGCATGAATATTTTGTTATTGAGATGTGCATAAACTTCTCATTTTGGGCTCAATATTTCGCCTTATGTCTACTTTTATGTATTTGTTGCGGATCCGAGGGTAAATATTGTGATCTAGATTCTCATTGTACTTTAAAAACAATGTATTTTAATGCTTTTATTTAGTCCACATTAGTATTAAAATATATCCCATAAGGATGCTTCTTCACCTTTTAATTGAGGCTCTCATTTAGTAATATTCAAGTTCAGTTATAATTCACAATTTTTTGGATGTTTTAAAAGTTTATGAGAGATTTTGTTCATGCTTATTTGGTGAGTTGTCAAGTTCCCTATAATCAAGTCTTATGTTCCACGTTGTGTTTAGTTGTTGTTCTTGCAGTTCATTTGACATGACATGCGTTGCATTTTGAGATGTTTATTTTTGAAATTTATATTTTGTTAACTTTAATTCTATTCACATTTTAGTTCATAAAATCCTTCTCATTTTAGTTGGAATAATGCATAAGAGTACTTCTGTGAGAGTTTTTACGCAAAGTTGGAACAACGTGTGCTAGTATTTAAAATTTTTAGCTTTTATTGCATTTTTAGCTTATGTGCAAGTCAATTTTGTTGATGGCAAGACAACGAACTTGCAAAGAGGATCTAAGCAGAACATTCTTTTTTAGCTCTATTTAGTTTTTTGATTTTTATTTAATTTTATTTTTTTAAATTTTGTTCTTTTTTACTTTTTGTAAAAGAGATTGAGGGGGAGAGAGAGAGAGATAGAGTGAGATGTAAAGAGAGGTGGCGAGGTAATCGACGATGCCATATTGTTTGGCATATATCGTGTCGGGGGAATTGATGACGGGTTGGCTAGGTGGGGGTCGATAAGGGTTGAAGGTGCATGGGCTTCATGTGCCTGCATAAAAAAGGTGTGCATTGTGGACATTTACCTTTGCATAGAGACTGTGCAAGGTTCGTTAACCCACAATGCTTAAAAAGTATGTACTCGAGAAATACACAAACATATAACTTCCCCTGCCACATCAAAATGATGCGCATGGGTATTTAAATGTTGTGGAAAGCGGTTTGTGTTGCTTTATACCTTTGTGTGAGGGTGTTTTCTCGACGATGATCTTGAAGCGTGTGTGAATGCATAAAGTTTTTTTTATTTTGGAATCTCTCTCTCTCTCTCTCTATATATATATATATATAAATTCGAAATTTGAATAATTGAATAAATTAAAATTAACTAAACAATTAATCACCCAATTTAAAATAAATTTAAATCTATCATTTAAATAATTAGTCAAACTTTAACATAAATTTGAAATTTAATTAATTAACCAAGCGAAAAAAATTAATTTAAAAATCATTTTAATTAATTAAATAATTAATAATTAATTTTAAACATAAACTAGTTAATTTAAAAATTAATCAACAAATTTTAAAATTTTGTTAAAGTAATTAAAATCTATTTAATTAAATAATTATATAATCAATTTTAAATAAAAATCTAATTAACCAAACTAAAATTCATTTAATTAGTTAATTATCCAAATTAATTTTTTTAATGAAACAATTTAAACTTCATTTAATTAATTAATTAATCAATTTAAAATTCATCTAATTAATTAATTAACCAATTTTAAATTCATTTAACTAATTAATTTACCAATTTAAAATTCATTTAAAAAATTAATTAATAATAAAAATTAAATAAAAATGCAATAAGGAAGATGTGTTCACACTAATCAACCCATGTACAAACTCACACAAATTAAAACACCCAAACTCCTAAAACTAAATCACAAAACAAAACTTACAAAACTCTCAAACAAAACTCTCCAAAATCTCACTTATGCAGGCTCCAAAGCTCCTCTTGTGCAAGCTCCAAAACCAGTGCGATGTCCTGCAACAAATAAACAAAAATCAGTACTGTAAACTAAAAAAATGCAGTGCAAGAAAAGAAATGCAGAGTACTATAGCAAATTGCAGTACTAAAAGCTAAACTGAAACTAAAAACGCTACTAAAATAGTTAAAAGAAATAACTGGAACAAAGACACTAGTGTCGGGCTAGTAGAGAACTATAAACTAAAGCGCCTGCTGTCTAAGCTACCCTAAATAATACATAGGCTATTGCCAAAGGGAAACAATAAGTCCTACAAACTTTCAGGCACCTTCCAAAGGAAATCGTAAGGCTTATTCTTTGGGGAACTTCTAAAAGAAGTATTAGACCCCTAAACAAATCAAGCTACTTTCAATGAAAGCAGTAAGACCCACTCCTTAAACAAAACAGGCTATTTCTTAAACAAATTTGGTTACTTTCAATGAAAATAGTAAACCCATTTTTAAAACAAATTTGACTACTTCCAAGTGAAGCAGTAAGACCCGTTTTTAACCAAGCTTCTAGAGAATCAAGCAAAGTGTGTAACTCTAAAAGCTAAACAAACATACAATTTCCAATGGAAGTCGCAAGACCTATTTTTTATTTTTGATAATTTCCAATTGACATCAACTCTATGATCGAATTATTGTTGCAGCAGATGCTTTGATATCATCAAAATTTTCATCTATGAACATATCTCCTCTTTTAATGATTCTTATACTCTGGGCACATGCTGCCATAGTTTTGTAAGATAAGGAGATATATCCATTTATCCTTTTAACACATTATTTGGCTACCCCTCATAGTAATTGCACTTCAAATAAACGTATGCTTTATTACTTCCTCCAACGTCCACCTGAATACTATGTCTCCATGTTGTATTCTTTCTCATTGTGGATTTTTTCTTGCCTTGAATAGAAAAAAATCCAAATCCATAAAATTAAAATATTAACTCAATTTTGAGAACATAAACAAATTCAAAAAAATTAATAACCTAAGTCATTCAAAGACATTAATTTGACTCAAACCAAACAAATTAATAGTTTAGAGATTTTTAAGTGCTAGAGAAATAAAATTTATGGGGGTAAAGGAGATTCCTTATGGAAGAGACAAACTTGTGTAGGAGGAGGACAAAATGGCTGCAGCTGCGTGGGGGGAGGGGTGGTCGGGGTCGGATAAGCCAATGGTTGTTTGTGAGGAATGAACCGGACAAATCTTGGCCTATTGGCATGCGTGCGTCTTAGAGAATTATGTTATTTGCATTCAAATTATATAAAAAACCTATTGTTTGATGCAAGCACCTAAAGATTTTGAGGCGAGGTGCGCCTTGAAAATTGAGAGGCATATGCTTCGAAGCATTTTGTTATCTTTATAGTGTTGAGACATTCCTTGTATCACACAATTTTAAACCATGGACTCAAAGTTAAAATGAGCTAGATTGTGATCAGTTTAATTTTGATTTTAACTGGTTTGAAATCAAATGAATTGAGCCACGATTCAAGTGTATTCCATGGCCCAAACCATCAAATTGATTTCGTGCAGATGTCAGATTGGCTCAAAATCAAATCTTCTTTGGCCTTAGGTGCCACAGGTTTGATTCTGACATGTCTTTCATTAAACTGCTTGGACGTGAACTTGCTGCATGAGGTGGTTATGTAATCATCCTTATGACTTACTTATCTATAATTTACCTCATACCTACTTCTCTGTAATGGAATTTGTGCTCTACTTTTAGGTAATAAAATATCTGGGATTGGTTTCTATCGTTTTTTAAAGAAAAACTCACTTTCTAGGATTTTGATAGTTATTACTACAACTCTGAAAGCATTTTTCCATTCATTGATTTTTTATAATATATAACAATTATGTATATTAGATAGAACCTGAGACAACTAATAAAGCTTGGCTGTTGATGCAAAAAGCATGACAATGCAAAGAAAAAAGTAAATAAATGAAATAGAAAATCTATCAAATCTAATGAAAAAAATTAAAGGAATAATAAAAAAAAAAAATCCTGATGTAAAAGATTGCTTGCAACACTGGCAATACTACTGTTATGTTATACCTGAATGTGAACACATTGCATGTAAAGTGATAACAAACATTTCTAATCCTAAAAGTTTCACCGAAAATTCAATAACTCTAGCTTTTGTACAAGGGATTAAACGTTTAATTAAGAACTGTGCCATTTCCTAGATCAGCTCCAGAACTCATATCACAATTTCTTTTGCGAGCAATTGGTTATTATTTCAATTTTGTTTTTCTTTTTTATGAATGCTGTTTTACTGGGATTCTATCTTTTACTATTATGTTCTTCTGTTCGATGTAATTGAAGCTTGCATTTTGTTCTTTGGATCTGCAAATTTTTTTTTTTTTAAATTTAATCATGGAACTTATTTTTTGTGCTGTAGATTCTTCCTCTTATACCTCAGTTTGTTAGTCTTCCATCGGATAAGTTCCAGGTTGTGCTTACTCGCATACTTCAGGTACTTTTATTATTTTTTTCATTTGTTGATTTATAGCTTGTTTGGTGTCATAAACCTTATGATGTAAACATTTGCAGAAATCTTCAGGTTTTTTGTTTGTTTATTCTTAAGAAATTTTTTACTCTTTATGCAGTTCTCTTAAACATTCTTGCTTCATAACTTTTATTTGCGGCTTCATGGTTGCAATCTTCGAGAGCAGGTTTAGGGTTAGTGGAGAGATCATATATCTACATGATAGCCATAAAATTTGGCGTGTTAGTTGAATTTGCATTTTGTTTAAAAATAATGAAAGATGTGGTGTGTGTGTATGTATATATATATACGCGCTTGTGAACTTTCAGTTAAAACTAGTCATTGTAAGCTAAATGCTTGACGTATAGTAGAGGTAGTCGATCCAACATGGCATATAAATCATTGCTAGTAGCCATGGGTTGCTTCGTCCAATGGGATCTTGCAGACATTGGCTGGATGTTTGTCAAAGGGAATGAATTTAATTTGACCTTAGCTAACAAAGTGCTTTGTGCCCTTTTAGGTGCATGTTATGTTTCGCAACTCAAGGGTTTTTAAGTTGTTGAGGAACTTGCGAGCTTTGGCCGTGATCATAATTTAATGATTATATTTCGTAGCATAATCACTCTATGAGAGGGTTACTTTTATAACAATTTACCTGTGGCCTCATTTGGATGCAAAACCACTAGTTAGTTGACATGTACTACTATGAGAGATCATTTGAATTGTGAACATAGGTATACACTTAAAAAAATATTCACTCTTTGTGATCTGAGTTTATTTTTAAACTTGTCACATTCGACAAATAGCTGTGAAAGGTGGATTAATTTTTATTTATGTTCCAGTGGTAGATTTCACTTGAAATATTTTTAAATTTTAATTTTTTTTGAGAATTTTTACATTATTTTGTATGGATGTGGCCTCGAGTTGGTTTACATAAGGATTTAGGGCTATTTTGATAGTAAGATCCCCTCTTGTTATTATTTGCTTTCAACATGACCATTATTGAGGAGTTTTATAAGTGTTTTCATTTTGTTACTACTGAGCTTGTCAATTTTACTAATTTCCTTACAAAGGATCTAATCAATGATTAACATTTGCAATTACATTTGTAAGTTAGAATATCACTGTGAGTTCTAGGCTCAATTATTTTTAACAAACTTTTTCGGTTAGAAAATTTTGTTTCACCTAATAATATTGTAAATTATCGAGTGGTGCAAGTCTTGTTTACTTTACTTTTGGAACATAGTAGATCGAATTTTGAAAGTTAGATTTACAACCTCGTCTTATAGGCAGGGTAGCTTATTTGAGAACATTATGCAGCGTATTGATAACATTTATTTTAAAAAGAGAATTTGTTAGATTTTAAAGTAAATGCATGATTTTAAAAGTTATTGCATCATTCTCGAAGCGGTGTAAACTTGCATTTATCTCATTTTTGGTCCACAGAAATTTCAAACATTAAATTCAAGCATTTAGCTTGTTCATTGAAGCATACATGGATGAGTTTAATTTTGAAAAAGGAGTCTACAAAACTTAAAATCATTGCAGGCTTCATTGAGAAATTTTTGTGCTTTTCAAAGGGTGAAAATTTCAATTTGATTTAATTTTTTCCCATGTAGTATTCTTAGACTTTAGTTGACCATTAAAAGAGGCATAAAATAAGCTGAGTGTTTCAGGGATGAGGATGGTCAGGTTGATGAATAACTTTACGCTCAGAGATTGAATGTAAAATGAGTATATACTTGAAAATGTTGGAGTAACACTAGTAACATATAAAATTAGAGAGAGTTCTCATAGATGGTTTGGTCACATAAAGCATCGGCCTTCTGATGAATCGATTAGGAGAGTAAAATGTATTAAATCCGTCCTTTATTAAAATAGATAGAGGTAGACCTAAAAATACTTTGTTAGAAAGTATTACAAATGATTTTTGTTTATTAGATTTAAATGAGAAATTGACTCTTAATATAATACAATGGAGAAAAAAGATTTATGTTGCTGGCTTAATGAGTGGGATAAGGCTTGTTGTTGTTGTTGTTGTAGTATTCTTAGATTTTAAATTTAGGAGTTTGTTGCATTTGTTGGTGCATTATGGGGGAATTTAATTTTGGTTCTTTCATACGACATGCATGCTTTGCAACATATTTGTTAGCGCATTTACATGTTTCATGATTCACTTGTGTGCTTTTCAATTCATTTGCACAATGCACTAGCAGGCTTTGGTGCATGTGCACATTATACTTGCATGGTTTTTGAAATATGTCGGATTTAAGTTTTTTTAGCCTGTGTAATAATCTCAGACCTCAAATATCGTAGTTTGATGCATTTGTTGGAGCACATGTGGGTAGATCTTGTTTGCAGAAGTTTAAATAGAGTTTAGAGAGGCTGCACATTTTTCCTAAATAATTGCACGCTTCTTGAGGCAGTTGGATTTGAAGTGGGGAAGCTAGGGGTGAAGGGATGTGGGGGATAAGGGGGAGGATATGTGGCCGGCGGCTTGGGGGAAAAGCTATGGTTGGTGAGTGAGGGAAGAAGAGAACGGGGATGAAGGGGGTAGACCACGAGTCACGGACTCTTCCAATGACTGATGGGTACTGCGCTTGCCCTTACCTCGGTCTCTCTCTTTTCTCTCTAGTGCACACACAAGATGAAGAAGAAGACAAACAACAAAATTTTATTCAAAATTTTCATCATCCTCATACATAAAAAATGACTATATATATAGGCCTCAAAATGAAAAATAAAACAAAAGACTAGAATGCCCCTTGGGCTACAATAGCGACCAACTACCAATAAGGGCAAAAAAGGGAAATTTTTTTTAAAAAAATGATTAATACATAAAATGCTAATACAGAAAATGCATCAAAAGTCAAGACTCTCCATCATGGCCATCGATCTTTTGTCGCCTCTGATAAACGCGTCGAAACCTCTTGTCGATGTCTCCATCACATTCTTTCCCAGTTTTCGACATTTTTTTCCTCTCCTAAGTCTATTATTTTGAAAGTTTTTCTTACCAAGTTAAGGCATGACCAGAAAGTTTTAGACTAGCAAAGCGAACCTTCCTATTATCAGGTATTTCTTTCCCCTAAAAAAATTGATCCATCTTTTCTACCCACTCAAGGAATTGATCGGGTTGAAGTTTTTCCTCAAATCTAGGAACATCAATTTTTATTCCATGATCGCAATTTCTTTGTTGCATGTGTTGATTTCTAGGAACCTCTTCACTTTCAGAATTTTGGACATTAGGATTAACATTATAAACATTCAGATTTTCAATTGCTTCAGCCATAGTGTTGATTTGTTGTTGCAAATGGTTCAATTGTTGCATTAAATTTTGCCAATCCCCTGGATTATTAGCCATCTTAAAATTTTAGAAAAGACCCACCAAACAAAGACAAGAAACCAACAAAACACACCAACCAAGTATAAGAACTTGCTCTGATACCAAACTTGATGCAGACAAAGTAGATTGAAAAGCCAGATAAGGAGGACGATGGGCAAAACTATAACCAAACTCGATTCAAATAGTAGCAATCATCTATGACATCAAAAACCGACGAATAAAACGAGAAGAGAGATCAAAAGAAACAAAAGAAATATAAAAAGACGCTATCCTCAGAACAACCGACAGAACGGTTTCCTCACATGCATCGAAATGTAGGTTAAATAAAGTATGTGCTTCGGGCTAGCAAACCGATGGCCCACCACAGCAGGATAGTCCAAAACTCCAACCAAACTCCTCCAGCAAATACTCCCAAATCAGCCAACAAACACCTCCAAAGCTCAAGAAGTAGGATACAAATGGAGTGGAACTTGCGTAGAGAAGAAAGAGGTAAGAAGCCCAGACGAAATAGAGGAGAAGAAGAAGTGGACAAAGCTCTCAAGCTTTTCCAAGAAGAAGAAAACCCTCAGGTTTTTTAAGAGACAAAGCTCTCAAGCTTTTCCAAGAAGAAGAAAACCCTCTGGTTTTTTAAGAGACAAAGCTCAACCAAATTCAACAACCTTTGCCTTTTAAAATCATATACTATATATAGGCAAGAGAGGGGAACCAAACATCCATATCACCTCCAAATAAGACAATAAGATTTAGGGGAAAGAAAGGTCAACAGACACTTCAACAATTCCGAAACGGCACAACAAAACAGAGGGAACTCACGGGAACCAAGCAGAGAATCGCTGAACCGAGCAGCCCAGCACGGAACCAAGCAGCTTGCCGCAGAACCGAATAGCCAACCACCGGAACCAGAGGGGCAAGGCATGGGAAATCACTCACCACAGGGAAATGAGAAAAAAAGGGAGGAGAAGAGGCAAGTCCACTCCAAATTGAATCCTTGATTTAAAGCATACCTTTTTGGAATAATGAGCTAGGAAGCTCAATAAATCTCCCAATAATTGAACTAAACTTCAGCTCAACATTATTGAGCTAGCAAATTAGAAAATAAAACTCAACTCCAATAAACCACCACCTCCCATCATCATCTTCAGCTTAAACCGAGAACCATAAGCCAACCCGAGAACCAGCAGCAGCCCAAAGGACCAATCAAGCTAGCAAACCAAAGGCCTACTAAAGCCCAAGCACAACCTACCATAATCATTGGATGCATTCCATCTAAAATTAAATAAAATGCTAATGTTTAATATTTAAAAAATGAAAATATTGAAATTATGAATGCATCAATTCCCCCCTGGTGGGAGAGTCTCATCTCCGGATGAGAAAGCTTCAGTAACTTTCTGAAAATGATCAGGTTGACGCCATTTTAGGTCATTAGCATCCATCCAAGTGTAGTTAGTTAGAGGTCGATTCTTCCATTTTACCTAGAACCTCTTATGCTCACCATGCCTTATTTTAGAAATTCTGACATCAATAATATCTTCAACCTGCTCTTCAGATTATGCCATAGAAGTGGAGAGTGGCAAAGTTTCAATTTCTACAGAATCGTCAGAATTTCCTTCATATAAAGAAAGGTCAGAAACATTAAATACAAAAG